AAAACTACAAAGTCAGTGAGGAGAGCTTAAGTGAGCCAATTAAAGTAAAGAAACAGTTCGAATGTTAATTCCTAGTATGGAAGAACATAATGATAAAATAAGTTTCTTTTTTAGAATGTGTAAGTCTTCAAACACTTTCCGACGAATTTCATGCACTGCTCAAGAAAATCCCCAGTTCATGAAGTCCAGAAATGACTGTTAGTAAAAGAATTTCTAATTTTAAGCCACAGTAGAGGCTACAGCAGAAGCCAAATACAAAGTTTTTCAGTTATCTCTTCTCCTCTCTGGTAAAGCAAAAGTCTCATCTGAACAACTTGACATGCCCTTAAAATTCAATTTCAAAAATTAAGCTGATAATACGGCATTTTTCAAGGAAGCTTTTACCATTTTACAGCCCATATTAAGATTTTGCCTCTAATCTCAAACTCATTACAGCTTATCAAGGTCTTTTGGGAAAGCAAACTGGACTAAATTTCCGCAAATTTAAACTGAGGCAAACAACTGGCATATCGCAAATGCTCCTAGCAATCGTGCAACTTGGTACAAGAGTAAAAAATTTAAAAGAACGGACACTGTTCATTTAATGAAAGATTTTGTGGAAATTGAGAATTTCAAAAGCAACAGTTTGAAAAAACTTAAAAGCTTTGAAACAGTGTTAAAAAAGACTGGAAATATACGACATCAGACTTAAAAACCCTAACAAAAAAGTGATTAAAATAAATCAATCCATCGATTCTACTAAAGAATGCAGAGACGTAAACGGTAACTTCGTAAAAACTACAAATGAAATTCAAATACCTGTCCTGATTCTACAGCGTCTATAAGAGCATCTGTGTCCCGCTGGCGAATAGAATCAATTAAGTGCCGATGAGACCGTTCAAAAACAGCTGGTATTGCTAAAAAATCAGAACATGTCAGAGAGCCTTGAAAAATGAAATAAAGTTGTATACTTACTTATTAATAAAGACTCACATGTTTCACTGCGAGAAGATACTGACGAGGATGTCGAACTTCGCGGTAATGCATGACGACCTTCGCATAATAAAATAATTAATAGATCACAAAATCTCATTGCATCCATGACGCATCTTTCATCTTTACTGCATAATACCGTTTTTAGAGCTGGTACCAGGAGATTAGAACTAAAAGAACGATGTAATACGAAGCAGCCAAGATAAAACATGAGTTACCTGTAGATATAAAACAGATTGGTGACAGCAAAAAAGCTAAAGTTGTTACAACTGGATGGTAATAGCAGAATGTAATTTCCAAACCGCACCTTACCACTTGCTCCGTGACAGCTGCTGAACCACGACAAAGATTACTTAACACAGAGATCACAATAGAAGTGAAAGATGAAGATTTTTGAGGAAGGACAGGTGGAGCAGATGCTGTTGAGTCTCCTGACATTAAAGATGTTGAAGACGCAACATTTGGCATCAAAGACGTCGAAGTGGGAAGCGCCAACGATGGTGCCGACTGTACTGATGATAGATGCTGTGACGGCAAGGGGACGAGGGAATTCAAAAGATGGTCCACCAAATTACCATGTCGTGCCAGCTCTACCGGATCCATAGATTTGCGTATAAAACGATCAGTTAGGGCAGCGAAACATCTTAGGGCACATTCAGATACCTAAAAACAGGATTAAATTATTCAACTCATGGAGAACAAATGTGAAACAAAAATGAAGCTTTAGATATCGAAGGAGGTAATACTTTAATGTCATCGTGCTCAATTAAGGCTCCAAGATCTGCACTGCACTGTGGCATTGCGGAATCACTAGGTTCCATCTTACTGCACAGTCTTGTCACAACAGACATGGCTGAGTGAACAGTGTCCTAAATCAACAGACAATTTTAATAATGCGTTATTGTGAAGTAGGAAAAAACGATTGAAAAAACGATCAAAAAATCAATAAAAACACTTTAATTGAGAACTCGGTAAGTACCCTGTGAACACTCTGGCCATGCTGTCGCACCAAAGCAAGCATGCACTGTAATCCACCGGCATCATATACCGCAGATGTTTCACGTTGGCATATATGCTCCAAAAGTTTCACGCACTGTTCAGCTAAAAAGTTTTGAATAAAAGCAAGATAGCACTTATGGGAATGAGGGAATCAAACTACAATTTGATATAATCCAACAATGAACAGAAAAATTCGAACCTAAATCTTTGCTTGTCCTATTCGTCATTTCAGCAGCAGCAAGCCTATTACAAATTGCTTTGACAGCTCCCTCAACCTGCGTTATACGTCGAGTACATTCGTTGGAGACGTCAAGATAATATGTAATCGCTCGTGCAGTAACCTGAAAATTAATAAACTTTTACTTTAAAACAGAAAGCCGAGCAATGAACCAACTTACTTCCAAGACATTTTCAGTTGCTGTATCATCAAGAAAAATTTTGCATAACGTTGGAAGAAACGTTCGGGGAGGACAGCTTTCGAAACACCGGTCAATATTATCACTCATCAATAGCAGCATGCACAGTTGCTCCAAGGCCATCATCTGAAGCAACATAATCTAAGATTTAAAAAAACTTCTATTGGCTGTTGTAACTCACTGGAAGAATTTCTTAAAAAAACAACAGTGAAAGAAGCTAATGAAAAAGATTTTCGCACGCTACATTTTCATCGAACGTCAACTTCACTACTTCATAGAACAAAAGTTATAAATATTTAAACCTGGAGATCACGTTCTTCTCCGACCCCTGTTTGGAGCCATTCCAGTAGAGTATTTGGATCGACACCATCCATTGTTCAAGGCTTACTCGAGCCTCACTCAAGTGTCGATCACTTTTACCTGAAAATCCTTCATGCAAAGACGACAGTAATGCTGCTACATCACAATTAATCAACACTAATACATTAAAATTAAGTTACAAGCCAAAAAACAAAACGAATCTATAACGAATAACTAAAAAATTTTGTCAAAAATCCTCTGCAATCAGTAAATAGACAGAGCTCCTCTACGAACAAATGATTAAAACCCTTTCACACTTCACAGAGCTGCTCACACACCGATAAAAGAATTGACAAAGTAAAACATCTTCAGCTGATTTTAGCAACATACCAAGCCTGCTACCTCTACATTAAAGTCAAGCTTATCTACGCTACAAAGAATCTGTTTATCAGACTGCAGATAATTTAAACGAGAGAAAAATAAAACAACTCCTTCTTTTTTTGGTAAATTACCTTTTAAAATACTGAATAAATAGCCTCCATTAACAGAAAATTCAATAAGAGATACTTGCAAGTGAAAATACCAAAAATTTTTTCAAAAACTGGCTATTAAATCTCAAATTTCCTAAACACCTTATTTAAAAAGCAATAAAAAAAAAAAAAAACGCGAACTTACTGGATTGCTAATTTCGAAACTACCGGTCCTTTAAAAATTAGTTATTTTCCGAAAAAAAAATTTAAACCTGCCTAACCAAGAATAATTAATAAAAAAAAAAAAAATCAGATCTCCACTTTTACATTCCTACCTTTGGTCGCTCAAAAGCCTCTCGATTTAATTACTTAATCCTTGTAGAATAAGGCAAGAAACATAAAAAGAAAAAAGGAACAAAATACCAGAAATCAATAAAAGAATTTCAAAAACAACCTTTAGAATAGCAATTAAACACAACTTAGTTGGTGTAAAAGAAATACATTACTGACAATTGTTTTACCCGGAAATGATCTATACAAATTGACTCAGCACTGTAGTAATATATTTTACAAAAAAATAAATAAATGAACTAGAGATTTGAAGCAAAATGCAGAGTGATGAATGAATATAACTAGACACATAAAGCTTGTTGTCGCAGGCAAGAGGTAAGCTTTTTTACTACCAGTATTAAATAAACTTCATTTAAAATCTTCAAAAAAGCTGTTACAAAAAGAAAAAACTGCAACACTTTTTTTTCTAAAATCTAAACAACAAAAACGGGGGTCAAATCTGGGATAAAGTTCCTCTACATGTGCAACTATTAAAGAAGTGGTTGGAATGAAAGTACGATCAAAATTAATTGTTACGCAGAACTCTAAGAGAGTAGAGAACAAATAACAAAATTCATGAGAAAAACAAAGTCAGAAGATCACAATGGAGTATAAAATATAAACTTAGAACAAAAGCAGCGTGTCAGGAGAACAGCTGATCCGAAATGATCCACCAGCAAAAAATTATGAGCTTTAGGAGGACTCAAATATATCTAACAAACAAAGTTGGTATATAATGAATAACACCTCTTGTGGAGAAACATAAATTGGTTCCCCTTTCCTTAAGTCAACATCGGACATATGACAAAACGGTGGGCAGTGCAATCGTGCGCGGCGCTTTGGCATTCAGACTTTTCCATTGTAGCAATAAAACATCGTTAACTAGAATTTTTTGGCTCAAAGTCAACTACAGAAAGTCTACTTGAGATCAACAAAATTGAAAATTACCAATCAACCTGACCTTCAAATTAGGTTGTAGTGTATTTTTTCCGGTACCAGTAAATAAATAAAATAAACAAATAGATAAATATATATATATATATA